ACAATCCAAATGAATTTGAAGTGCAGACTTTGAGCTTTAATTCATGGAGTTGAACATTGAACATAAACATCTGTAGCAATTGTACGTACAGAGATGGATGCGAACCTCCATTTTGGCAAAGGCCTCCATCTTGTATCATTTCTACTCCAAAATCGGCTTCCCTCCAATCTCCCCTCCCTCTCTATTAAGTGACATGTGGTCTGAAAGATGCCAGAGATCACAGGCATCAGGCACAGTGGGAGAGCTTCATGGTTATAAACCCCAATTAGCCTGGCCCCCGTATGTCTGTGAGACTCTTGCTTGGAAAGGATTGTAAAGCCATAAACCAGTCCTTCACTGGGCTTCAAACGATTCCAGATAAGCCGTAAAACAGACTCACGTTTAAAAACCCATTTTTCCATATAATTTTATATCTTAAAGTAGGAAATAATTACATAAACATAAAGTATATATTCGGATGGCTCAGTTTAATACAAGTTGTCTGATATCTTACACCCCCTAGTTGGAGTCTACAGGAGAGCAGAAAGTCATATAATTCTAGCTGAAATAGTGAACTGTGGCATGTTTCATATCTAGGCGTTCAGCAGGTGATTCTGCATATTAATCTACTAGTGGATAGAATGGTACATGTACCCAGGGAAGGTTATTGCCCTGGTATCAACTTAGAGGGATTTTGGTTCTAGTCTGAGTCCCCCGCCTACAACACTCTCCCCAAATGAGGCGATTGGTTCTTTGCTTCAAGGAGACACCCTGCTGAGTTCCTAGAAAAAGGCTGTTATGCTTGGAGCAGAGAGTAGAGTTGAGTTGAAGTTGAAGAAATCTCCCTTTTAACATCGGAACCAACTTGGGAGAGAACACCCCTTTTGCTCTGCAACTTGATCTGATTAAACCAAGGCTGACGGCAAGTATCTACCTCTCTAAACTTCCTTCTGTTATCTCTTGGCTGTGTTATTGCTCTCTGTATTTATATGTATATATTGGCTACATCTTTTCTAAAATTCAACCGGCTGATTCTGTCTTCTGTCACATCATCAATAAACACCAATGACCCAGTGCCACTGGAAGCCATGCATGCCCATGCCATCACACTGCCTCTACCATGTTTTCCAGATGAAATTGTGTGCTTTGGATCATGAGCTGTTCCAAGCCTTCTTCACACTTTTTTCTTCCCATCATTCTGGTAAAGATTAATCCTAGTTTCATCCGTCCAAAGAATGCTTTTCCAGAACTGGTCTGGCTTTTTTAGATGTTTTTTGGCAAAGTCTAATCTTGCTTTTCTGTTCTTCAGGCTTATGAATGGTTTGCACCTTGTGGTGAACCCTCTTTATTTGCTGTCGTGAAGTCTTCTCTTGATTGTAGACTTTGACAATGATATGCCCACTTCCTGGAGAGTGTCCTTCACTTGTCTGGATGTTGTGAATGGGTTTTTCTTTACCATAGAGAGGATACTGCAATCATCCACCACTGTTGTCTTCCATGGATGTCCATTCCTTTTTATGTTGCTGAGCTCACCAGTGAGTTCTTCTTTCCTCAGAATGTACCAAACTGTTGATTTGGCCACTCCTAATGTTGCTACTATCTCTGATGGATTTATTTAGTTTTTGAAGCCTTACCAATAGCTTCTTTCACTTGCATGGACAGTTCCTTTGAACGCATGACTTAGGTTCACAGCAATAGATTCCAAATGCAAATACCACACTTAGAATCAACTCCAGACCTTTTACCTGCTTAATTGATGAAGATATAACAAAGGAGTAGCCCACACCTGGCCTTGAAACCGCTTTTGATTCAGTTGTCCAATTACTTTTGGTCCCTTGAAAAAGGGGGGATGGCTACTCTTAAGAGCTGTAATTCCTAAACCCTTCCTCCAGTTTGGAAGTACATACCCTCAAATTAAACCTGAGAGTGTGCACTTTCAGCCCACATCCATTATATAACTATAGCTTGAATATGTTTTGGTAAATACCTGACAAGAACTAATACTTATGTACATGTGTTTTTTTAATTTTTAATAAATTGCAAAATGAACTTCTTTCATGCTGTTATATGGGGTATTGTTTGTAGAATGTTGAGGGGAAAAAATGAATTTAATCCATTTTGGAATAAGGCCAGGGGCGGACTGACCATTTGGAAACTCGGGCAATGCCTGAGGTCCCAGGGTCAGTAGGGGGCCCCATGAGATGCCCCTGGTACCTTTTTTTTCATAGGCTTTTTTGAGTTTGGGCAAGGACACAGGAGCCCCATAATTCCCTATTGCCCGGGGGCCCCATGAGTTGTCAGTCCGCCCCTGAGTAAGGCTGTAACATAACAAAATGTGGCAAAAGTTAAGCGCTGTGAATACTTTCTGGATCCACTGTATAGTACAGTAAAATGGGTATTTGAAGCAGGTGAAGCAAAGGTATCGGCAGTCAACAATGTACAAGTGGCGAAACCCATTGAGTAAAAATGCTTCAGATATTATAGACTGAAGCTGTTCTCAAGCAGCCATAGGAAATGCAGTTTAAGGAGCAATAAAATAAGGCATGAGACTTGTAGAGGCAACTCTTAGGTATTCAGTCAACAAAGGAAATGCTTTCCAGGAACCACAATTGGGCACATGGGGCATGAAGGGACCTAAATTTCCTCTGTACCTGTGAAATTGGTAAAATAGGGGGCACACTATTACTCCTTGCCTTCCACTCCGGCCTTGCCCTTTTTCCCAGTGGAGTCCTGCTATGTGTGTGAAATACACAACTACGCATAGCTACATTAAAAAAGAAAAAAAAATATATGCAGATATATGTGAACAAGCAATACATTTTAAACTACATTCACATAGGTGTAAAACTTTTTACTGATCTTAATACTGTATGCATGAGGTTTTTTTCCTAGCACAAAACTTCCTGTGTAATGATCAGTAAACACTTTTGTGGAAAATGTTCCCTTTTTTCCCCCCAACACTTGCATCTGGCATACATGTATATGTATATCCTCAGATGCAGGTTTTTGATGATTTTTGACTTTGTGTTGCGGAGCTGTGCGCAATGTTTACGCACTTTTGTGAATTGCAACTGCATTCCAATCCGTAAGTAAAAAACAGTTGGAAATGCGTGTTATTTACAGCCATGTAAATTAAGCCTTAGGACTGGTTTGCACTAAAAATTGAAAGTAAAAACTCATAAAAGTGCTTCCTTTTACCTATGGTTTTTTTTTGTGCGTTTACCTGCGTTATGTGCGTTTTTGAAAATCATATCGCATTTAGCTTCATCTAAAGGGTAAAACTGTATTGAGTTAATATATAAAGCTCTGTATGTGAATGAGGTCTTGCGGCTCATTCACATGGGTACTGTGGCTTGTACAGGGTGAACCAGATTTTTAAAATTTTTTTTATGTAGCTGAAACTATGTTCAGGGAGCCTATGTTACGCTATGAGGCTAGTATAAACACAGCCATAGGTCCTAATTTGACAGGTGTGTGGATGCACGTGTACATCTTCAAACACCCACACCTGTCAAATAGGCATCTGTGGCTGTGTTCATATAACCGCTGCATCCCCTTACAGTAACCGGCAACTGCAGCCGCACAAAAAAAACATCCATTCACACTGTGTGCAGCAGAGAACCCCTGTGAATGAGCCCTTTTTTTTATTTTTTACATTTATATTTGTTGCAACTTTATCATTTTTGACATTTTTTTTCACAAAGCTTTTGAGGGATGGTGTCAGTAGGGCAGTGGACCGTGTTAGTAGTTTATTTTTATTTTTTACAATTTAATTTTTTATTTTTTACAATTTTTTTTAACAGCCCTCGTGGGGCTTTAAATATCAGGGGTCTAAACAGACCCCTAAAGTCTAAGTTTTGAGATAGACAAAGGGACTGAGGAAACTTTCCCCAGTCCCTTTTATCTGTAGCTTCATCTGCACTGTAGAAAAATGAACAGGAGACAGAGTTTACTATGCTTCATTTATGAATGAACAGAGTGAGTGGTTGGTACCGATCACTCACTCTGTTCATTCAGACAAGGAAGGGGCTGGTAAATTCTATATTTACCGGCCGTTTCCCAGCTCTTCTTCCTTGGAAGATTCTCCGCAGCAGCTGTGTGAGGGGGGAGTTGTCCGTGGGACAGAGGGGGCTTGGGCAGCATGGGAAATCTGACAGTTGGGGGTGATTAGTGGGGGTGGTGGTTTAAATACAAGAACTGATAACCCTGTATGGCTTGTGTGCTTGCAGAGAGCTGCATTTTTTTATTTTTTTTATGCAGAAAAATGCATCTCTCCGCTATAGTGTGAATGGGCCCTAAACATATGTTTATTAGTCTTCAGTGTAACTTTGAATTTAAAAATTATATTGTTGCAGTCTGACCTGATCAGAAAGAGTATCCAATTTTTCTTGGATACTACTCGTGTTAGCTTAGCACTTAAACAAGTTCTCTAGGTTCATGGTTGATTACAGAAAATGTTTGACTCATCTATTTTGTTCGTTTTTCAGTAGAAAAACGTTTTGGTTTTTTTTTCTACCGAAAAATTTAAAAGTTTTTTTTTTTTTTTTTATATATATATATATTTTTACTTTCTCTCATTTGGTCTGCTAAAGATTCCATTGAAATAGATTACTGAAAGTATTTTGTTATCTGTTCAGTACGTGTAAAATACCTGTTGCTCCTGCCAGAAATATTGTCAGCTGATAACCTTCTGTGCTGCGTGATTGGCTGTCATTGTTTCCAGCTTCCTCTATGGGTTACAGATAACCCATCCATATACTTTGGAAGAGAGGTAGAGGTATTCTGTATTTCTATAACACTTCCTGTCCTAGGCTGACAGTGCTGCTGCTGCTTCATAGATACAGCACAGTGTGTGAGCATTGTTACTTTAGGGCTGGGCATGTGTTATGCCTTTTGCGAAAATAAAGGAACCAAAATTCTAAAATCAGAAAATGAATTCAGCCACCACATCTATGTACTGGTAAGCTGTAACAAAATGTTTGTTTTTGCTCTTTTCTAAACCTCGATTTCCTGGTTACTAGGTATTTGAGGTGACTATTTACGAAGAGGATTTAGAGGACACACAGAGCCTGAGTGATGATACAGATACTGATATTGGATCTGAGGTTTGTTGTAGTCATGTTATTACATATGGTTTCTGACATCTTTTTTTTAAAAAAAAGTTTATAAAAACTTTAAACCAGCTAGTGTATAAGACATGGATACCAACATTTTCATGAGTGTTTCTTTTTGTTTTGGAGTCATGGGGGAAAAAGCTCAGCGTAGGCTCTTATACTTTCTTTGGCTTGCAAATGTTTTTTTCCCGAAGTGCATGCAACTTTCAATTTTACAACTTCATGTATTTTACCTCGCCATGTGAAAATGATATACAAATAGCACATTTAATTTTTTGTCATTTCACTTTACATATTACATTTTTATTGTTTTAAAGAGTGTTTTGCTTCTCTTTTTCAGGACTGCTGGCAGTGTACAAATTGCCATAAATTTAACTCCCCAGGCAAACGTTACTGCTTCCGATGCTGGGCTTTACGCAAAGACTGGTATGCAGATTGCCCCCGTCTTGTACATACCCTCTCCACACCAGCACTTCCTGCCAAGGCCAGTTCCCAAGAAATTAACAGTGCTGTTGATATTCCTGACTGTCGAAGAACAGTGTCTGCCCCTATGGTTAGAGTTCGAGGACCTGAAAGTGTGTCACAATTCTTGGAGCCACTAGACCTGGCATCTAATATCAGAAGCCTTTCAGAAAGTACTGACACTCTTTTCAGCTATCAGTCAGAAGAAACTTCACTGGAGTCTACCAAGCCTCTTTTGGAGCCCTGCAAGCTCTGCCGGCAACGTCCACGAAATGGAAATGTGGTACATGGGCGTACAGCTCACATGGTAACATGCTTTCAATGTGCACGTAGTCTGCAGAAGAATCATAGTGGATGTCCAGTATGCAACAAACCTATACAGATGGTGATAAAAACATATGTGGCATAGCTAGTGAAAACTTTTTTTTTTTTCTTTGGTTGTTGCCAGATGATGCTCTTGCAGCTTTTCACTAAATGGAATTCTAATCCTTTGCAATGTACAATGTTTATCTTTTTTTTTTTTTTTTTTTTGCTTAAAGCACCTTTCTCCTTGAAGAGAAGCGGGAGAGTGATGATGTGAAATACTTTGTAGTGTTTACTTGGGATAGTGGAATGTTGCTTATCCCACAGTCTCAAATTTTGTGACCATGCCTTATCACTGCCATAAATGTGTTTTTTTTCTATTGCATTGTTTTACTTGGTGACCATCAAAATATTTTTGAATATTTATAAAAAAAAACAGATGACACCATTGCAGAGAATATTTATTTATATCTAGACTTTGTTCTGCACTGTCTGATATTTTTTTTGTTCCATTGGCCAGTTGCTACAGCTTTATGACAAGTCTAACCCATACTTGTCATGACTGCTAAAAAAAAAAAGACGTGTTTTAGTACTAACTGTGCTCAGTTAGGTGTTTTAATTCTATCTGTACTGTAAAAAATGCTGAAAGCCACATTTCCTGGAATAAATTTAAAAGGCAAAATATTCAGCATAATGTATGTTTTTAAAGTTTGATTTATTTTGTGGAGGGAAGGATTGTTTCTGGCTTGGTTATTAGAAATGGTATAATACAGAAGCCAAGCCGCTAAAACCAGAAGCAAGTAGACATTTTTTTTTTCCATTAGACAATCTGTTTCTTTACATGCTATGTTCATGCATGCCAAGCAATTTAAAGATATTTTGCTTTCCCAGAGATCATAGTACTGTCCCTTATGATGACTTTATTTGCTCATCAGTAAGTTGAAGACATGTAATGTCATGTAAATCCTGATACCCCTGCCAAAGGGCTTAAAGTGTTACTAAACCCAGGACCCTGCATTCTCTCTATCTGGTCTCCCACAGTACACAGAACATGGAAATGCAATTATTTTAGTAAATATAAACTGCTAAATACAGGTGTACCTCGGTTTACAAATGCCTTGGTTAACATAATTTTCGGTTTGACGAATAAAATTCCATTGAAAATAATGCCTTGGTTTCCGAATTATTTACGATTTTTTTTTTTCCCAATACGAAGTGTATGTTGGTGCCGATTTTTAAATGCAATTGCCATCTTTTTTTTTTTCTTCACTATAGCTCACAGAATTAGCTGTCACGTTCCCCGGAGTTAAGAAACTAAAAGGAAACATTGTTTCTTTTAATTCGGGGAAATAAACTAAAAGGAAGCTTTCTTTTTTAGTTGGGGGGAAAGTGCCAGCTGAATCTCTAGTAATTACATTTAAAAACCGTCACCATAATAAAAAAAAAAAACCGCGTGGGGTCCCCCCTCCCATCCATACCAAGCCCTTCGGGTCTGGTATGGATTTTGAGGGGTACTCTCACGCCGCCACCCCCCCACCCCCTCCGAACCATACCAGGTTACATGCCCTCAACATGGAGGGGTGCTTTGGGGCATGTTGATGGGGACAAGAGCCTCTTCCCCACAACCCTGGACGGTGGTTGTGGGGGTCTGCGGGCAGGGGACTTCAGAATCTGGAAGCCCACTTTAAGAAGGGGTCCCCCAGATATCCCCCCCCCCCCGTGATGAGTATGGGGTACATAGTACCCGCTACTCATTCACAAAAAAAACAAAAGTGTAGTGTGAAAAAAGACAGGACACGGTCTTTGACCAGTCCTTTTACTAAAAGAAAAACATAAAAGAATGTCCCCCGCAGTAGATCCAACATCAATAACGATGTCCGCTGCTGACCCGAAAAAAGAGATTAAAAAAAAAAAAGCCTCCGCTTCCGACGATGGTCCCCGGCTGCCTGCTCCGGTTGTTTTACAGTTCTTAAATATGTAAGGGGCGGGGCCACCCGGGGACATCACTCAAGTGACCCCACCCCATGTGACATCAATTATGTCACTTAGGGCGGGGTCACTCGGTTGATGTCCCCTCCCCCCCTTTCCTGACCTGCAGGGCTGCATGCTCTGATAAGGGTCTGGTATGGATTTTGGGGAGGGTTCCATGCCATTTTTGTTTTTACATTTTGGTGTGGGAGTTCCCCTCAAAAAACATTAACACATGGTTGTCACTACTAAAATACAGCATGACTTGATAAAATAACTCATGTTGTAATTTATTAGCATTTACTTTTTTTTGACCTCTGGAACAGATTTAATTGGTTTTCAATGCATTCCTATGGGAAACGGCGTTTCGGTTTACAAATTTTTCCCTATACAAAAAGACCCACAGAAAGAATTAAATTCGTAAACCGAGGTATGCCTGTACCTTTTCTCATCAGCAGTTTGAGCAGTCTTGTGACTTCTATCAGTGTCCGGCTGAGCACTTGTTAAAGCTTGTAGGAGGAGTTTTCATTTTGCTCTAGAAGGATGCAGAACCCCTGACCTCTGTCTGGATAGTGCTGGTTGGCCCTGTGCTGATCACATGCACTCTCCCTAGAAAAAAAAAAAACCTCTCTAGTAATGCACACCAAACTGAGCATGTGAAGAGTGACTCTTGTCACTTGTCTTTATCAGGAGATAAGAGGGGCACACTGGAAGAGGAGGAGGATCAGAGAGGTCAGAATCAAACGGCCTTTTTACACAATGCAGAGGATTAACCCCTTAGGTTCCACAGTTAGTATATCGAGCATAATTTACTGCATGTAAAAAGGGAAAAAATCAGCAATCACTACGAAACAGCTGCTATTGCACTAGAAAGGTAACCAGATAACCTCCAATAAACATGTAATAATAATAATAGTGCAGCGCTCATAGACTAATAACAATACATATGCAAATAATCCTGTGCTCACGCATATATGCATACTAAGATACAATAGAAATGTGCAAAAATGACTATAAAGTGCTTCAAATAAACCATGTACAGTCCTAGTGAAATATGTGAAAATCAAAAATATCCATAAAACTGTGGCAGTAGGTGAAGATCCGTATATGAGTGATCATAAGTGATAATCCCTGTGCCAAATAAGATAATTTGATGATGTGCCAGGGATATAGTAAGAATATGCACTCACCAGATGCGTATTTACAATATGCATATATATGTATAAAGTGTGGTCAGTCAGGGGTCCCCTTTAAAGGATGATACAGCCTGGGCAGGAATCTCCCTCAGGGTCCTGTGCTGTACTGCAGCCGTCCTCCGCAATGGGCTCTGTGGATTGTTTAGCTCAGAATGGAGCCAAAGAAAAGGATTATTTGCATATGTATTGTTAGTAGTCTATGAGCGCTGCACTATGTTACTGCATATACAGACTGATTTTACTGTTGTGGGTTTAATAACACTTTAACTAAAGATCACAGGGCCCCACAACAACATTTCTGAGGGGCCCCTCCCCAAACAAAAAAATTTCCATTAAAGAACACCCAAATTACTGCACTCATGTGGCACAGTGCCTGAGCTGAATGAGCTAGAACATATATTCTTTTAATTGGATACAAAAAATAGTAAAAACATCATTGTGTGTACTACAGTCTTTATGGCTTACTTTTTGTAAAGCCTAGGCATGACAAGCTGCAATAGCCAGATTAACAAGATGACAGCCTTGTAAGAGATAGAGAAAAATGTTTTTTACATTGTTTACTTTAACCTGACTACTAGATTCTTAATTTTTGAGTTTATAACTACTTGCCTAAGGTCTTGATGCTTAAAGTATATGTGAACCCTTGTAAAAAAACAACCCATCCAGTTTAAAATAGAAATGAGACAAAATATTTGTGTACATATAAAAAAAAACAATAAATACAGTTTTTTCCCTTTAAGTGTTCACACATGCTCTGTTGTCAGCTTCATAAGGAGCTGGGGAAGGAGAACCGGCAGTACACTGGTCTTCACAGTGAATGGCCATGCAGGAGCAAGTGTGCCTGCACTTGTCTAATCATTGGATTAGCTCCCAGCACAGCCAGAAAACTGACCTTGTTATGCCCTCTTCTACCTAGTGTGGTCAGTTTTTAATAGGAAAGCAGAGGGACTGGCAGGAACACCAGGTATTTCACATGAAGCAATACAAAGAGAACAGGATACTTTTTCATACAAGTACATGGCACAGCAGGCACATACCAGGAATAGGAAATATTGGGTTTTACACATTCTATAATTTTCATATTTTCAACATAACCAAAGGAAAATAAGTCATGGTTTCAGCATCCAACAAACAAAAACCAGCCAAATATAAGACTACTTGGAAAGAACATGAGAAAATGTTTTAATTGGATTAGATTTGCCAAATGGATACATACTGGGTGACATTTTACCTGATTTGCCATTTTTCTACAGAGCACAAAGGCCAGCAATGGATAGCTACTGTATGTAAAAAATATACATCTTTTAACCAGCCAATAACCACTGAAATTAATCAAACTGGTAATGTAGTACTTTATCCAAACAAACACACTTCTAATATACATGAAAGCATACAGCCAAAACATTTGCCTAATACTTACGTTCAACTATTCTTCTTCTTGACACATCCCAGCCTTCTTGCAAAATCAGATGGTGTACCATTGTAACGTAGCACCTTTTTGAGTCAACTGCCTGCTTATTAACAAATGAGTGGTTAATGAATTTTAATCTGGTATTCCAACCAAATTCTTAGCCTTCTCCAGTAAGCTGTGACTTCTGCTGTGCATATATATATTTTTTTTAACCACCTCCCGCCCGCCATATCGTTCTGGGAGGATGTCATATGACTTCCTCCCATTCTCACTGCGCATGCGCTTCTCAGGGAGCGCGCGGCAATTGGCGCTGTGCTGTGTCCCTTGGACACAGTGGATCACCGATCATGGAAAGAGCCGAAGATGTCGGCTCAGTCATGTGATCAGCTGTGTCCAATCACAGCTGATCACATGTAAACAGGGAAATGCCGGTTATCAGCATTTCTCTCCTCTCGAGCTGTCACGCTGACAGCTCGAGAGGAGAGCCGATAATCGGCTTTCTGCGGAGGGGACATGTACACTGATCATCAG